TGTGTATTCGGAGGTGGCAGGCTAACATGCCTAAATAGCCTCTTGGACCGAAGCGAGGGCGGACCCAGCGACACGTGACCCGCCGGGTACTAACATAACGTCATCACCACGTGATTCCTGTTCTCTCATTGGTGGAATTTAGGCATCTTTATCCTACAGTGTGCCAAGACCTGCCGTCTACCATCCCACTCCCGTACCGTACTCCGTACGGAGTTGGAGATTACGGGGACCGGTGAGTGTAAAGCCAGGAGCTGATGCATGCTAGATTCTGCACTGCACTCTGCATCCCGTACTAGGCTGATACGCATATATGCATTTACAATGTGCACAGATAAGCCTCTCAAGTGATATCGCCAAGAGCCAAGATTCCCGTGCTCCCGCCGCGCCGGTGCTGAGCAGCGACTATTGTCTTGGATTGAAGATTGACACGGGGCTGAACGTGAGGCAACGGCGTGTTATGAGTGGACGGACTCCCTGTTGAAGATCTACCAGTAGTGCAGTCTTACACCATGGGGTGCTTATCAGAGTTGTGACTCAAGGATGCCATTTCGATTGCAAATAAATCTTTCCGTTCTAATCTACTCCGTACTCCGTACCCCGTAATCCCATATCCTCTCGGTTTTCCGTTTGATATCGGGGTCGGGGCTGTATCTGTATTACACGTATCATCACCGGTTCATTGCGGCCTCATCCCCGGTATTGTCACTGCGGTAATTACCGTCACTAGCATCATCTTTTCTTCTTTCTTTTTCCTCCTCTTACTCTTGTCCTGTGTGGAGTCCTAGTATCTCTCTCTTCTCAAGCAGAAAAAGAAAGCATCTTGGCCGTTGCCTCACTGTCTCCAGGACCATTCTGCTGACCTCATGTTTACTTTGAATCCGCCTGCAGGCACTACTTCTACCACCGTGGGTTGAATGTGAGTCCCCGATTATTCCACCCACTTCTCACTCTCGGCACAATTTCACTCTCTTCATCTTTCTCTCTCCTTTCTATCTTCTTCTTCTCTAATCCATTCCTTATCTTCAGAAATCCAGAATAGTACCATTCTACCATTCTCTTCTTTTTTCCTGCCAGTTTCTGCTCTGCAACCCCACACTCCGCTCCAACCGTGCGTTCAGATATGCTATCGCCCGGTGAGGAACGCGCCATCCACCTGGCCACCGAGGCCATCGAGCTGTTCGACGCAGGTCACCGCGAGGTACGCTCCCTCCCCATAACACTAGTCTCTACGGTAGTTCTAATTGTCTTTCTTTTTCAGGCCGCTTCACGAAACCTCCGAGAAGCCCTCTCTCTAGCTCCGCACCATCCGGAGGTGACAGGAACCCTCCTCAAAGTCCAGAAAGACGAAACCCAGGGTCACCACCTTCTTGACCTCTGTCGCAAATACACTGCCAATAAAGATGAATCCGCTGGCAAAGACGCCTCCCTCTACCTACGAACTGACGGCCTCAAGCCCCCCGAGGAAGTGGCCTTACAATGCCTAATGCTGCTGCTGGCCGAGCGGCCCCACGCTTTGACCACAACGCAAGATGATCTCATTTCCAGCCTCGTGCGTCAAAACACCAGCGTTCGACAGTTTTTTTCCAATCGCCTGCAGGTCTCCGTAACCACGTTCTTCGACGAGATCTACGATCGTGGTGATGGAGCTGCCGTGTGTCTAGATACCGTTGTTTTAGACCCCTCCGTGTGGCCTTCGGAAAAGGACCGCTACCATTGCGAATGCGAACTGTTCCTCCTGTTTATCGCCAAGCTCATGGAGTCCGGCCATGACCTGGATGGTCGTTCTCTGAAGGGAATTGCGCGTCTGCTGGCGGTTGACGCGGAGAAGCTACAACACTTGGTCGACGATGAGGGGCTAGAGGTGATCTTGTCCTCACTGGACAGCCGTCTTCCAGCAGAATGGAGGGGCCAAGCTACGCTGGCGACGGTCAAGTACCTCCAAGTCGCCAAGCAGGCCGGTGAGGAGAGATTCTCTCGTCTCATCGCACACAAAATCACCAAAGCCCGCAATGATGATATTGTTGTGGCCTTTTCCGCGGCGGTCGCCGTATTCCCAGTGTCTCCGAACGCAGCCGCGTCCCTTTTCTTGTCCGACGAGTTTATGAAAGCCTTGATGCCGCTGGCCTCGAGAAGCTCCAAGAATCGCAATGTGGAAGTTGCTCTTCTGGAGTTGCTGAACGCGGCCTGTGTGAGCACCGCTTGTCGGGAGACCATTTCGAAACGATTCTCCGACTGGCTTTCGCACGTTCTTACCAATGGCAGCGATGAGACCTCTGACCTGGCTGCCGTGATTCTGGCCAAGATCCGCACGTCCGAGACAACGAACGGAGCCGGTGCGGTAGCATCCCAAACCAATGGTAAGGTTCAGGAGGAAGACAGCGTGCCAGAACTCGTACATCGATTCAAGGAACTGATGTCGCAACGAAAGGTCGAGCATGTGCCCCATGCCATTGAAGGGCTGGCTTTTTCGTCGGTGAAGCCCGACGTGAAAGAGCAACTTGCTGAGGACCGCTCTTTTTTGAAAGATCTCATTCAGATCTTACGGCCTCACGCTACGAACTCGTCTCCTACCTCCGCGTCCTCCGTGCTTTATGGAGGCTTGACGATTATCCAACATCTCACGCAATTCTTACCCAACCTTTCCGAAGAGCAGAAAAAAATGGCGCAGTTGAAGGCCTATGCCAACGCGAAGACCGGAGAAGCACGGTCGGGTCCTGATCCGCGCCAGCAGGACGAGGCCGTTCTCTCTCGCTGCCGGGCCATCGTCGAGGCAGGTGCCATGCCGCTTCTCGTGGATTGCGCCAAAACCAATCTTTCTTCGATCCAGTCTCTTGTCTGTCAGATTTTGATGTCCCTGGCTCGGGATCGCTCATCTCGGGGTTCCTTGGCCCAGCAAGGTGCGGTCAAAGTATTGATCAACATGGCGGCCCCGCAACAGGGGAATGCGGGCGCTGAGACTAGTTACTACGCGTCTCATGCTCTAGCTCGAATTTTGATTTCCGTCAACCCGGCCCTCGTTTTTCCCTCCTCCGGTTTTCCTTCGGTGACATCTGCGGTGCGACCATTGGTGTCGCTGCTGTCATCTCCGGAGACAGCCGTGTTCACTGCGGATCAGCCGCGCGATCTGCTGCCAGTGTTTGAAGGGTTGTTGGCTCTCACCAACCTGGCCTCATACCCGGATGAGTCAGCACCTGAGACGATTGTTCGACAAGGGTGGACGGTGCTGGAAGATTTGCTGCTGTCAGGTCACACGTGGATCCAGCGTGCGGCGTGCGAGTTGGTGTGTAATTTGATGGCATGTGAAGCCGGCGTGATGCAATATGCAGATGGCTCGAAACAGGCTGCCAAACGGCTGCATGTACTGCTGGCGCTGACGGACGTGGATGATACAGCGACTAGGAAAGCAGCAGGAGGAGCACTGGCCATGCTGACCGAGTTTGAATCTGCAATTACAGCGGTGCTGGACCGACCACGCGGGGTCGAGTTGTTATTGTCACTCTGCCAGGATTCAGATGCAGAGCTGCAACATCGGGGGGTGGCCTGCATACGGAACCTGACTAGTCTGGCGGCAGGAAATACGGGAGTCCGTGCACGCAAAGTTGTCAAGGACCAACAAGGCGTTGAGACGCTGGCAGGCGTGTTGAAGCGGACGTCGAATCCGGCGGTACTGCAGACGGGGGTGGAGGCGTTGAAGCCGATTATGCAGTGATTTTGTTTGCTATGATTACGATTATGATTTGTTTACAGGATTGCTGTCGAGCGGGTCTGACCCCTCATATTATCCGATATCAGCAGGGAATGCAATTGGCAGCACTGATTGATTAGCGAGGCGTCTGCTCGGGAATTTGTTATCAGATAGGCATAAAGGAGTTTTTTTTTTTTTTTTTTTTTTTTTTGCATTTGCTGTGGTTCGCGAGGGGTGATGATGACGTAGTATCGTTTGCTATGAAGCAACTGAACTGAGTCTGATAGACTAACTGTACATTGATAGGATGCTGAATGTACGGAGTACGGAGTATTCCACATTCCATATTCCCCGGAGCTGCAGTCCTTTTGCATGAGCATGAGACCGAGGCGGTCAATGAGGTCATATGCAGGTCGTCAGCTGACCCCCATAGTACGTACAGGTGCTCAGTTCCGCGAATGCAGTACTTTTGCTAGTGGGGTGATATTCGGTAGATGAAGCTTGATAGTGATAGCGCCATGCCATCTCTCTAGCTTCACACATAGTAGACCAACTACCACCACTATGCTCCAAGGCTAAAAAACTACCCCAGACACACCGCCACACGTGACCTTTCTACCCCCTTGCAGTCCCCACCGCTCGTCCCACCTCCTGGTCCCCACCAACTCCCATTGGTCTGTGGGATTCAGCGATTCACGCCAACATTCCTTTGCCCCCACCCACAGACAGTGTTGATTGGATGTGGGAGGTCTGGACCTTGGAAGCGTGGGGTCTGTGGGGACTGCGCTTGGCGAGTTCTGAGATTTTTCCAGGGTTTTTCTATTTCGGTCACGGGATGGGGGGAGAATGAAAGATGATACTTGGTCAGTTATAAGAGGCGTATTATATCTTGCCTTTGCCACTGTCATCATTTCTTTATCTCAAGTATTGCACTGCATACGGAGTACTGTACTCTACTCTATAGTCACTCTAACTACTGAAAATCTCCGATCGAATCAGCTGTCGAGTTATTAGCACGGGCTGGCATAGACAGCGTGCCGCCATCAAGCTTTCTGACTGGTAGCCAAGCACCCTTTGTCTACCGCATGTTCACGTGCTGACCTCTATACTGGACACAGATCTCCTTACATACTCTGTCGTGACGGATGGCTCCTTAGTTCTGCTTAAGAATCGACACCATTACCACGACTACCACTCCTTGAGCACCACCACCACCTCTATACACACACACCATGAAGTTCGGCCGCAATCTCCCCCGCAACGTCGTCCCCGAATGGAGCGCCTCCTACATCAAATACAAACCCCTCAAGAAACTCATTAAGTCCGCCGCCGAGGACCTCAAAGCAGACCATGAGGCGGATCTAGCGGGTGAGGCACTACACTAGAACCTTTCTCTGTCGACTCCGTCGACACGACAACCCCCTGACCACATTCTAGGCTTCTTCTACTCGCTCGACCGCAACCTCGAAGACGTCGACTACTTCTACAACAAGAAATACCACGATTTCTCGCGCCGTCTGAAACTGCTGGAGGGCCGGTACGGGCATTCGCTCGATGGCCGGCAGAGGCTGGATGGCGAGGATGTAGAGGATTTACTGGCTGCGTTGTTGGAGTTGCGTGGTCAGTTGCGGAAGTTGCAGTGGTATGGGGAGGTGAATCGACGAGGGTTCATCAAGATCACCAAGAAACTGGATAAGCGCGTTGGCGGGCACAGTCAGAAGACGTATTTGGAGAGTAAGGTTGACCCCGCGCCATTTGCGACAAATGTGCGGGTTTCCGAAACGTTGAAGAGAATTAATGACTGGTTGTCGATTCTCGGTGATCAGAAAGTTACTGATGATGCGAGTTCGACGGTGTCGTCGTTGTCGTTGAAGAAGGGGCCTTCGAGGCCAAATTTGAATGTACCGCCGAGTTTGTTGGCGGCTGTTGATGAGGCGTTGCGAAGTGATGATACGCATGTTCTGCTGGAGTTGATTGAGACGCTGAAGAAAGCGGCCGATGAGGCGCAGGATAATTTGTTCCCGAGGGTGCTCAAGAGTTTACTGCAGCGCTCGATTTACTACCGGTCCAAAGCTTGCATTACTGCTTTGCTTGGTCGCATTGATGATGACCTCGAGGAGGATGATGATATCAACAAGCGCAACGCCATTCATCGTCTGGTGATATCCATTGGCCGCGCGCAGTCTACTACCGACTCAGAACAGTCTGCTTCTATGGTGCTCGACTTTCCTCTCGAGACATCCAACTACATTACTCCCGCTGCTCCGCCTACGTTGCAGCCCGCGCGCTCTGTCGTCAAGGAGTCGGAGAAGCCTCAGCATCTTGAGCGCTCTGACCCGGCCGTCACGCTGTTGTCGCATTTGCTCGACCAGCTGCGCCCGCAGCAGCGTCACGCCATCCTGGCTAAGGATCTCTCCGGCCGCACTCCTTTGCACTACGGTGCGCAGTACGGCTTCAAGGTCGTATGCGATATCATCATCGAGCATCTGCAGGCCTGGGATATGTTCGACGTGAGCGATGGCATTGACGGTGTCGAATGGCAAGACAACGATGGCTGGGCACCGCTGCACTTGTCTGTTGTTGGCGGTCATCCGCTGACCACTCGTACCTTGCTCGAGTCTGAGAACTGGAAAGGGGAGAGCAACAAGGAGCGCGCGTTTATCCGTAAGCAAGTCCCCAAGTCCAGCGCTGTACTCGCCATGGCTACCAAGGCCAACTTTGTCGATATCGTGCAGCTGTTGGTCGATGCTGGTGTTGATATCAACTACCAGGATGAGCAGGGTGAGACTGCATTGCATGTGGCTGCTCGGTTCGGTCACCACCAGTGTGCTCGGATTCTTCTGAATGGCACGGATAACCAGAAGGCTGATACTGAGCTTTTCGAGTACACCTATTCGTGGACTCCGCTGTTCATTGCCTCTGTCGATGGCGCGCTGTCGGTGGTGAACCTGCTCATTGATGCCAATGCTGACCTTGAGCGGTCGGATTCTTCTGGCTGGACCGCTAAGGAGCACGCTGCTCTGCGTGGTCACCTCGACATCGCTCGTCGTCTGGCCGAGCTCACACCCGAACCTGAGATCTCCGAGCCAGAAGTCATGCCTGCACCCGCTGCCATCTCGCCTTCCGCTCTTACTCCCTTGTCTCCGCCCCAGGCGCAGTCCGGCCTCGCAGAGTCCTCTTTGGCGGAGCGCCGCTCCAACAACACCACCCCAGGGAGTTCTGGCCCACGGGCTTCTGAACCTGTCAAGTCTTTTGGACATCGGTATCTTACCGATGAAGCCATGATTTTGGTCAGCCTGGGCACGATGGATATCCGCAAGCCGCAGCAGGCAGTCAACTTGGACCGGATTCCGATGGAGAACGCTCATTCCACGCAACTTGACACGGCGTTGTCGATTGTTGTCTCTGCTAGTGGTGCACATGGCGAGCCGGAGATTATCGATCTGCCGGTGCAGGATAACATTTCCACGGAGCCGATGGTGTTCCATTCTGCTGATCCGGCCAAGGTGCGGTTGTTGTTTGATCTTGTCCCGACGTATGCGGGGACGAAGGATCAGATTGTTGGTCGTGGTGTTGCGTTGCTTTCGTCTATTAAGCCTGGTGTTGGGTCGCATCGGATGAACCTGAAGGGTGACTCCACCGTGCCTATCGTGGCAGCCAACACTCTTGAAGTCATCGGCTCATTGATCTTCAACTTCCTGATTGTCACCCCCTTCAAACACCCCAACATGTCCGTCGGCCGTGATCAAACCTACTGGAAGAGTCTCACCTCAACAATGGTCATCGGCCACCGCGGTCTCGGCAAAAACTTCGCCAGCCGCAAGTCCCTTCAACTCGGTGAAAACACCATCCAATCCTTCATTGCCGCGGCCAATCTGGGTGCTTCCTATGTCGAGTTCGACGTCCAACTCACCAAAGACCACGTCCCGGTCATCTACCATGACTTCCTCGTCAGCGAGACGGGTATCGATGCGCCTGTGCATACCATGACACTGGAACAGTTCATGCAGCTGGGCGATAGCCGAAACCAGAATATTTCGCCTCGTCGGGCTGATATTATCGGCGAGGAGAGCAAGGGTGGACGTATGCGGTCGATGTCTGTTGGTGGGTCGGAGTATAATGTGTCAGAGTTGAATGAGAAGATTAAGCACACGCGGGACTTCAAGAAGAAGGGATTCAAGGGGAACACGCGGGGTAATCATATCCAGGCTCCGTTTGCTACGTTGGAGGAGTTGTTCAGGAAGTTGCCCAAGTCTGTTGGGTTTAACATTGAACTGAGTACGTCCTCCCACCTCCCAACTCAATCATGAAAAAACTAACAAGCGTAGAATACCCCATGCTTTTCGAATCCGAACAAGAAGAGATGGACACCTACGCTGTCGAACTCAACTCTTTCGTTGACACAGTTCTAAAGTTGGTGTACGACCTTGGCCAAGGCCGCAACATGCTCTTCTCCTCCTTTAACCCCGACATTTGCCTCCTCCTTTCCTTCAAACAGCCTTCTATCCCGGTGCTATTCCTTTCCGACTCTGGTTCCTCCCCAGCCTACGATATCCGCGCGTCTTCTCTCCAAGAAGCAGTCCGCTTTGCCTCCCGCTGGAATCTGTTGGGTATCGTCTCCCAAGCCGAGCCCCTCGTCCTCTGTCCGCGGTTGGTCCGCGTCGTGAAGGAGTCTGGGCTGGTCTGCGTATCCTATGGCGCCATTAACAACGAGCCCGAGAACGTCAAGCGACAAGTCACAGAGGGTATTGACGCAGTCATCGTCGACTCAGTCCTTGCCATTCGAAAAGGCCTCACAGAGCACGAGAGTAAGATGGAGACGCCGTCTACGTCGCCGCAGCCTAGCCCATTGGCCATTCCGTCGGCGGATAAGGAGTTGAAGGATACGAATACGATTCCGGTGTTGGAGCAGGCGGAGAATAAGGGGGGTCATTTGCATGTTAAGCCGGAAGCGTATGTGGGAACAAGCTAGGCATGCAGTGGGGATGAGGGGTTGAGATATTATATGGATTTCAACATTTTACACGTTTCTGCAGTTCCATTTGTTCATGTTTGAGGGATATGATATCTTGTTTATCTGTACCATGTTGGTTAATATGCATGGTATCCAAGCACGGTTTGGAGTGAATTTCATTTCGTTTGTTATGATTTGTTACCTAGACCGGTTTTAACAACTGGATTGATTTGTGCATTAGAATAATCTCGCCAGAGGTAATCTCTCATTTTATTTGACTTGTCTTGATCTATCTTGAACCTGGTATCCCCAATATCAAATACATTGAGAACGGCTCTGTACCCCTGCGTCATTGTGAAACATTAATACAACATGCAAGCAACTGTCCTACTCGTTTACCCGTGGTGATGCAACCCTATATATAACACAACAAGCAACCGCGCTTGTGTAATCGAACCCTATATATAACTTGCATGTATCCCTTCCATTACTCTATCGCCCAGCGACACAACAATATCCAACATGTTCCTCTTCTGGTTTACACTCCTCCTCTCAATCACTATCTCCGCTTCTCCTACCAATACAGCAATCATCAGTAGCCGTCTCTCTTACACCCAAAAACATGGCACAAATTACACGGTCTTCACCCACGCCCCCACAGGCGCAATCCTTGAATTCGTTAATAATTCTGGAATCTGCGAGACAACCCCCAATGTAAACCAATACTCCGGCTATCTCTCTGTCGGCGAGGGTCTGAATATGTTTTTCTGGTACCCTCCCTTCACCTCTTTTCTTCAATATAACCTTCAATGTTGATACTTGTGATAAAGAAGCACAATCTGATTCATTTGGTTGGTGAACAGGTTCTTCGAATCCCGCCACACCCCCGCCAAAGCTCCCCTCGCAGCATGGTTCAACGGCGGCCCCGGCTGTTCCTCCATGATTGGGCTATTCCAAGAAAACGGGCCGTGTCATTTTCCCCTGCACGGTGATACGGATAATCCAGTGTTGAATCCATATAGCTTCAATGAGGTTGCTAATATGTTGTATATTGATCAGCCGGTTGGGGTGGGTTTTTCGTATGCTGATGACGGTAATGGTGAGAATGGCGGGAATGTGAATAGTACGGATAGTGCGGCGGGGTATGTATGGGTGTTTTTGCAGGCGTTTTTTGAGGCATTTCATGGATATGAAGGGAGGAATGTTGCTATATTCACCGAGGTACCCTGTCTTCCCTCTTAATTGAGAATCCAAAAAGATAGGGCTAACTAGTTGATGACCGGCTACAGTCCTACGGTGGTCATTACGGCCCCTCCTTCGCCTCGCACATTAAAGCCCAAAATGAGCTTATCCGCAACGGTGCCCTAAAAGGGGAGGTAATCAACCTAGTCGCCCTTGGTATAAACAATGCGTGGATCGACACGGCCATCCAGGAGAAGTCCTACATCGATTTCGCATTCAACAACACCTACCGCTCACTAATCTCCGAATCACAACGAGATAATTATCTCTCTGTATACGAGGAAATATGTCTCCCCGCAGTAACCAACTGTATGGAGACAGAAACAGATGAACCGTGCAGGTTTGCGAACCGGATTTGTTCATCCCGGATCGAAGGACCGATTAGTCGGGCTGCGGATTTCAATGTCTATGATATCCGCAAACCGAGGAATGATGATGAGCCACCAAGTACATACATGTCATACCTGAACCGGGAGGATGTGAGGAGGAAGATTGGGGCGAGGGGAAGCACATTCAGGGAATGTGCGGGAGGTGTTACGCTAGATTTTGGGAAAACGGGGGATAGTACGCCCTCCCACTAACCTATTTACCATCTCTATGAAAAGGCCATGCTAACGGACGATGGATGGCAGACGCAAAAACACTCCTCCCAACTCTATCTCAACTTATCGAGTCAGGCCTACAAGTCCTCCTCTGGGCTGGCGACGCAGACTGGATCTGCAACTGGATCGGTAACCTTGACGTTGCAAACGCAGTCGCATTCAATGGAGCCGAAGAATTTCGGGGAAAGGAGTTGGTTCCATACAGCGTTGATGGTGTGGAGAAGGGGAGGGTGAAGAGTGTGGGGGGTTTTACGTTTATGAGGGTTTTTGGGGCGGGACATGAGGTCCCTTATTATCGTGAGTTCTCTCTTCTTTTCACTTTACATGAGTTATTATAATGAGTGGAGTGCTGATGTGTGTAGAACCGGAGACGTCGTTGCAGGTTTTTAGGCAGGTTCTGGAAGGGAAGGGGGTTTATTCTACTTAGCCACGTGCATTATAGGGCGACTACCTTCTCTGCGCACCCTACCCCTCTAGGAACCTAATTCCATCAAAATTGTAGATATCACCTGGTTGAATTGATGTCGGCACATAGCAGCATCTAGGTGGTCATGCCAATCCTCAACAACACTAATATCCTTGGCATCCATGCGTTGAGGATCAATGGGCTTTTATTTCCAGGGTTTATTCATTAGGGAGGCGTTCAATAAAGCGATATGTCCATTTTTTGGGCAACTTTTGGGGTCTCTGATCGAGGATCGGTATGGCTGCGCCGGAGGAATGAATTTGCACAATTTTAAACTTGTTAGACACTGGTGGGGGGCATCCTGCCCTGTCAAGTTGATAGACCCAGTTCCGTAGGGCATTTCCTTGATGGTATAGTGGACTGATGTTTGGAACTTGGAAGGAACCTCTTTACGCATCGACGGAGGTATTGATAATCATCATCAAATTCACGCGCAATATCATTCATTTATGGATTCTAGGTGTGATGGTCTCGAGCAATATAATTATATTGGTAGACTATTCGACAGAATACTAGCATGAGGAGGGAAAGGAAAGAACGCTGGGCCTGTCAGCACTGGACTATTTAATGTGTAAAGGGGTTTCACCCTAAAACAAAACAATGAAGTCAACATAAAGGAATCGGACCTGTCATGTGACATATCAAGTGTTCATGCTCCGTGACACTGGGCGTGTCTATACGCCACAACAGCATCTTGATTCTTGAATTCGAGACTCAGTCTGTATGCATGCTTTAAGCATAGTGATGGTTGATAAATGATGGTTTAAAAAGAGGTAATTAGTGGCGTTTGATGAAAACTTTTCATTGCGGTGATATTTTCATATCTGTGTCGCCCCAAGTAGTTATTACGGCCTCTGGCCCAAAATTAGTGTTACCCAAAAAGGAAATCATACTAGGCAGCTGTATCGCTGCAACAAGCCTGAGGCTTTGAGGCAACCAATTCAAAGAATTGGTTGCTTGAAAGAAAAATAAATGAAGGGGGAAAAAGGGATAAAAAACCAAACTAAAAAGACCATGCGCACATGCCACTTTGTTAAGCCGGGATGGTAAGGAAGGGCACTCTCGCAGGTGCCATCCCGGGTTCGAACTCGGGATGGTCTGTGAAAAGCTCCTGTTCAACCAACTCGACCAAAGCGATACAATGGTCCCTTATATAGGGGGATTTCCAATTGTAACCTCCTTTTGCGTATTTTCATGTACAGTGACCCCCAATCCAATCCCTTTGTGTCTATCACTCCACGCTCTTCACCGGTTAGGGAAAGGTGCGAAGTTGTATGCTTTCTGATCTGTAGATAAGTGCGTTGTTACAGACCTAGCCACATCAGTCTCACGTGACTATGCGGGGAGGTAAGGCAGAATTGAAATGGGTTCCGTCGGAGGTTCAGGGGAAACCGGAGGAGTCGATCATCCGACTGCACGAGGCCTATATGTAGAAGACCCAATTAAAACGAACGATTGATATACTCTATCTAATGTAGCCTAGAGTACAC